TCCCCCCCAGTGAGGACAGAGAGAGGAGCCCCCCAGTGAGGACAGAGAGAGGAGCCCCCCAGTGAGGACAGAGGATCTCCCCCAGTGAGGACAGAGGACCCCTCCCTGCAAGGACAGAGAGAGGAGCCCCCACCCAGGGAGGACAGAGAGAGGGGCCCCCCCCCCAGGGAGGACAGAGGACCCCTCCCAGTGAAGACAGAGAGGGGAGCCCCCTCCCTTGTCTCTACCCCCGCCTCTCACTTTGGGAGAAACAGTGCCTCTCCTCAAACACAACGTGGACATCTGTGGGGACCGAATCCTGTAGAGGGCAGGGCCCCGACCCCCGTCCCAGCGCCTGGACCTTGCCCGTCACCGTCCCCAGCCAGAGGGGGCGCCGCTCACGCGGATGCACAGCCCCCATGCACAGCTGAAGGCCGGTCTCCTGGTTCCCCACCGACGGTGCCACATGGAAAACGGGAATTCGATGATTTAATCCTCAGCTATTTGTAGAGAATAACATTTGCTCACGTAGAAAAGTCATTGCAAACCTCATGAGTTCAGAGTTGAAAAATGTAGGGTTTGGAGCTAATTGTTTTTCTGAACATAAGGTCCTGACTTTGGGAAAACAGTTAAAAGTTCAAAAACTTTCAGACATCAGATAACTATTACAAAGCAACGTTAGATAAGTTTCAGCAAGAATAAGAGAATTAGAAACATATGAGTCATAATTTCCTTTAAAACCCACTTGCGTTTAAAGACCAAGGGGCAGGGAGACACTGATTAACCAAATGTGTTCAAGGACTCACTGAATCCAACCTATTTAAAGCTTGGTGATGACATTTAGGCAGAAAAATAGTGAATTCTTCCTCAGCTGCGTTCAGGCCGTGCAAATAAAGCCGTGTTTGGGGAGCTCCTCCCTCGTGTCCCTGAGCCGACGCGACCTAACTCCGGCCATGAAAACGCGGCTGGTGGTAGTCACTGCTTTTACGCGACTTTCCGCATCTCCGGTTAGAAAAGTCACCTGAGGGGGCGCCTGGGTGGCTCAGTCGGTTGGGTGTCTGACATCAGCTCAGGTCACGAGCTCCCCGTTTGTGAGTTTGGGCCCCGCGTCCGGCTCTGTGCTGACAGCTCGGGGCCTGGGGCCTGCTTCGGATGCTGTGTGTGTCTCTCTCTCTGCCCTTCCCCCACTCGTGCTCTGTCTCTCTCTCTCTGTCTCAGAAATCAGTAAACATTCAAAAAAATGGTTTTTTTTGAAGAAAAAAAAGAAGTCACCTGAAGGTTCTCAGAAGCAGCGAACAGAGGTGCCCGTGGCCAAAAAACAACGTGGCAGGTTCTTCACCGTTCCCGACAAGCCAGCGCCGCTCACCGAGATCGAGGGCCTGTTGATGGGGCTTCCTCCTGTCAAAGGCAGGGATGTGTTTTTCCCCAGTCGGTGGCGACCCCTTATAAAACTGCTCCTCCGCTTACAACACAGAATAGCGGCATCGGGATGAACAAGTCACAAAAGGGCGCAAATAGAACACAGATTTAAGAGCAGCAGAAGCTCAAGGTGAAGCTGGGGGAACAACGCGGCCAGGAAAACGGGCTGCAAGCTATTTCCAGTGACCGAGGTGGACCGATGCGGACGGAGGCGACACAGGGGAACCACCAAGCCCAGCAAAGCATGCCAGGCGGGAGGGGAGGCTCCGCCCCTAGGCCTCGCCCCCAGCCCCAGGCCCCGCCCACAAGCCCCGCCCCAGGCCCCGCCCACAGGCCGAGGTCGGGAGCAGCGAGCACCCAGATCTGGCCGCTCGCTCACTTGGGTCCCGCCCATCCCGTGTCTGGCTCCGGACCGAGAACGAGACACTGTGGGGAGTAGGGCGGACGGTCCATGCCGCCGTCTGACGTTCGGATCATCCCCTTCCAACTGCCCTCTTGTCCGGTACGGGCCCCGAAGGCCACTGGTCGCCCCGGAGGGACCTCGTGCCCGCCTCGCGCCAATCGTGAGAACTGGTGTTTCCTCGACCCCTCGGGGCAAGTCCCGTGTGATGCTGGGTGTACTCTCTTTAGCCCACGACTGACACGTCTTCTAGCTTCCGAACACGTGACGGGCATATGCCAACTTTCGCTTCAAACATTCCACCAATGCCACCCACCTAACATGCTTCTAAAACCAGGTGGCTCCCCCACGGTCGAATGTGCCCATCAACCGACACCAGTCCGACCACCATCCAAGCCACGGCCCTGCGCACGTTCTGCCACAGTTCCAGGGGGTCCCACCAGCCTCAGCCCCTCCGGAGCCCCCTCCCAGCTCTCTGGCCTCGCTGGACCCCCGGCTCAGAGAAGGGGCCCGGCCGGTGGGGGAGTGAGGTCCATGGTGACTGAGGCCGTGTCCTGGAGTATATTTGTTCACGCTTTAAAATTACTGCATAACGGATGTGTGTCCGGCGGGTTCTCTGAAAGTCACAGCCCCGGGCCTAGAGCCCCTGTAACCTCCCCGTCTGTCCGTGGGGCACACGGCTCGTGGCCTTCCCTCCACGGGATGCATTTATCACTTCACCCCGGGGAATGCAGGGTTGGGGTTTGCTTTGGTTTTTTTAATAAAAACAATTTCTGGAACCCAGAAGTCGATTTGAGGGGAGAAAAAGGGATTTTTTTTTTTTTTTAATTTTTAGAAGAATGAACACACCTTTGCAACCAGAAGAAAAAAAAGGTAGATAGTGTTTTGAAAGTAACACGGACTCTTTTTCTCCTCTGGGTTTAGAAATGTTCTTTTAAACTCTTTCATGAAGGCAGGAGAGAAGGAAAAAATGTCAACTATCTGCACCATTAAATAATAATTAATATTACATATTGTTAAATGTTTATTTTTGAGAGAGAGAGAAACAGAACTCGAGCAGGGGACGGGCAGAGAGACAGGGAGACACAGAATCCGAAGCGGGCTCCGGGCTCTGAGCTGTCAGCACAGAGCCCGACATGAGGCTCGAACCCACGAACTGTGGGATCGTGACCTGAGCTGGAGTCAGATGCTTAACCGACTGAGCCACCCAGGCGCCCGAAGATATTTTATTTTTTAATTTAATTTAATTTTTTATTTTATTTTTTTTTAACGTTTATTTATTTTTGAGACAGGGAGAGACAGCATGAACGGGGGAGGGTCAGAGAGAGAGGGAGACACAGAATCAGAAACAGGCTCCAGGCTCTGAGCTGTCCCCACAGAGCCTGATGCTGGGCTCGAACTCATGGACCCCAAGATCATGACCTGAGTCGAAGTCGGATGCTTAACCGACTGAGCCACCCAGGCGCCCCTAATTTTATTTTAAAGATACGTATTTTAAAATTACTTCAAAACGTAAGTGATTGAATAGACAGTAACACTTATTAACTCATTTATTAGTCATTAGCTCACAGGTCTCAAAAGGCCTTTAATGTATGCAAGCATTTCCTTCTTTATTTTGCTTTTTCTTCACATCTTGAGACCTTCTGTGCCCCACGTAAATTCATAGAATTAGCGAGCAAACGTCTAGAAACTTTGAAATAATGAACAGAAGGGGAAGTTATTGATGGATTGAGTATGAATGAAATAGTGCTAGTTAGATGCAGTTAGCAGACTTCCTAAATTTCTTCTATGCTGACCGTTCAAACGATCAGGGGCATAAGTCCCGGAGGTCCCATCCTTCTGGGTGCTCGTCTGTGTCAAACGTGGACACAGTTAATGAGAATCACGGCTGAGATGTGCTCTACGTCAGCACGTTGGATTTGCACGTCTTGCTAGGAACTTACCTGTCGACAAGAACCTTCCCGGAAGACCCCCATTGTCCTGCGAGGGGCCTGTGGCAGGTGTCATCCCGGAGACCAGGGCTCTGAACTGATGGCCAGGGGAACGTCTTCTTTCCCTCCAGATCGCATTTCCGGGTTCCGTGTGTGCCTGGCTCCGCTCGGCGGCATCAGCTGGCTGAGTTCTTACCTCCGGAGCGAGGGGCTCTGGCGTTTCCGATTCCCTCTGCGGTCCTGTGGTCCCCGTCCTCCACCTGACGGCATCCCTCACAGGCCGTGCACACGCGTGCGCACGCATACGGGGAAAGGGGAAAGACACGGAGTTTAATGTTGCAGGGTAAAAGGGAACTGAAAAGACCGATTACCAGTGGTGATATTGGCAGCATTTGGGATAGAATTTAAGATGGACTTCACTACCTGCGTATCAAGAGCTGCCATGGCGATTCCACTTACTAACTACACTTACTAATCCGATTCCACTTACTAATACACTTACTGATGCGTTGAACTGCATTGTTCTTCCGTACGTGTTTTCACTGACGCTGTGTAGGTGCTTGAATTCCATCCACAGAAAATTCTGCGGAGGAAGAGAAAGTACGGAGAAAGTCGTCCACCTCACTTCCCCCACTAACGGCTTTATCTCCAACAAGACACACTACTGATCCGGTGTCACTCCGAGAAATACCAATATGCCTCCCGCATGTACTCCGTGCCCCAAATGCCGTAATCACAGACTCGCGTGCCTGTGCGAAGATCGCGTGTGAGATGCTTTCTTCTCTGTCCGGTGAACGCTGGCGTGGGGTCTCTCCAGAGTGTGGTCGGTGAGGTTTCAGAAAGAAAGAGAGTTCTAGGACCTTGGAGACGAGCTCACAAAGAGGAGGGGCCGCCAACCTGGGTGACTGAGCCATCTCGTGCCGCATGGATGCGGGTCACGGGGTCTCGGCAAGCCCCCCAGTGTGCTCGCTGGCGGGGCTCTCGGGGCGTTTCTCCAGCGCCTCAGGGTCTCCCTCACCCTCCAGAAGAGGGACCGGAGTGGCCGGATTGGATCACGGTTGACCCTGTGCTTACTCAGTAGATGGGCCGACACGAACAAAACAAAGCAAATGTCTTGAAGAAGCCTACACTTCTCTTCTGTTCCCCAAAGGTAGTTAGCTCATAAGAGCAACAAAGGCACAAAATATTGAGTTGATGGCCAATTCATTCTAAGTCCGGGCCACCCCTTAACGTTGGAGGGTGTAGGGTCATTCCTATACCTGCTAGGTGTGATTTTCCACGGCGGTTGGGGTGTGCCCGCTAGGAGAGCGCTGGTCCAGTGTTTCCACGGAGGCAGCCTGGGGCATGTTAGACCTGATGAGGGCTTGACGACTTCCCAAGAATTTGAAAGCACTTGACTTTCGCTCAGTGTCTATTTGTCTGACTCCGGAGGCCCCAGGTGACAGCGCGGTCCAGGCGGCACAAGCCGCTGGGAGCAGACGGCCTCCTTGGACATCCTGTCAGGGCTCGGATGAATGCACCTTCTGTGTGGCTCTTGGCTGCCGGAGGCCCTGAGGACGCCACCTCGCGCTGGAGCCCTTGGCTTTCAGGAGACGGCTTTCGTCTGGAGCTAGCACGAGAACACGGCTGCTTCTCGGCTCCAAATGGGAACCGCATGCTGGAGCCCGAAGGCCTGGAGAGCAGTGCGGGCTGGGCCTCGCCCTGGCCTGGCGGCCGGCTCCCCCGGGGGAGCCCGGGGAAGGCACGGAGTCAGAGCGGCAGCGTCCGGCCCCGAAGACGACACCAGGAGCTGGCGCGGGAGATGGCTGGGATGCACGCAGAGGGGGCAGGGTCCTGCTTATTCTTTTTCGTTACTATTAAAAAAAATTCAGTATTTTAAAAATTCACATCAAAATTTTTTTAATGTTTATTTATTTTTGAGAGAGAGAGAGAGACAGAGAGAGAGAGAGAGAGAGAGCACCAGTGGGGCAGGGGCAGAGAGAGAGGAGACACAGAATCGAAGCAGGCCCCAGGCTCCGAGCCATCAGCACAGAGCCCGACGCGGGGCTCGAGCTCACAAACCACGAGATCACGCCCTGAGCTGAAGTGGGACGCTCAACTGACTGAGCCCCCAGGCGCTCCGGGAACCATTCTCAGTGTTGAAACGTCCTGGCGTGGCTGCACCGCACGTCTGGCTCATCAATGTGCTAGAATCGATGGAAAACAGACCTACTGTTCACATGTTCTGGAGGATTCCAACTCCCTGCTTTCCCTCGGCACTTCCTACAGTATTCCAAAATCCTTCTCGTCCACGAGCCCGGTCAGCAGTCAGCAGGTGGCAAGGTGAGGCAGGGGCAGAGGGGGATGATGGAGGGCTCACCTCCCCCGACCCCAAGCCCGGCCCACCTGTGGTCGCTACGTCCACTGCGTCTCTTCCGCTGCTCAGCGCCCTTGCTAAAATGGGGATACAAACCCCTGCTCCATAGCGTTGTTGGGGCCTTTGCCTGAAATTATGCATGCAGTCGGTGCTTAATTAACGTTCTCCACTTCCTGCTCAGCTTCCCCAAACAACAGCCACAGCAACAACAAAATCAGTGGTCCAACCAACCTACAAACTTCCTAGAGGCTCACAGGGTCCTGCCCTGTCCTGTGGTCATTATTCTGGAATGTTCCGGAGGCACCTTTTCTCGGCAGGGTCGTGTGAGCACGTGACCCACGTGTGAAGGGCTAATATCTGCCATTTCAGTTCTCCAATATTAAGATGCTTTGAAGCTCTGTTTCAAAGGAACAAGTCGTTTCCTTTAAATCAGCGAACACCGTGATAGAGTTCTGCTGTGCGGCAAAAGGTGGCCCCGCATCCAAGCTTGTGTCCAGGGTCGGGTCAGGTGAGCATCGTGGTGCACCATCGGAGGACCGGTGTGTGGTGCACGCCTGACCTGGACGGGTCCTTCCAGAGCCCGTGTGGTCCCCATGGTGCCTAACCCGCCACAGGCTTGGGCCGGGAAGATCAGTTTGGTTTAACCCTGCTCTCACAATTGGTGTGTTTTGAATATACACCTTCAGTTATAACTCGTACTTCAACTCGTGTGACTGAATGAAAATGTCTGCTTCATGTTTTGGCTCAAACGACACACTTTTTTCCACTGTGGGTGTATTCTATTGATACGTGTGGTGAGAAGGAGGACGGGGTGATTTGTTTCCACACTGTGTAAGTGTCTCTACATGTGTATATCTGTCCACTCTCGCCAAGGGCACATTCCCCAGGACGGATGTCGGACTAAAGGGGGCGCAGCCCAGGCAGTCTGTTTTCAGCGAAAGGCCACTGAACGTCGAGGCACAGGAAGGTCAGACTGCAGCAGCCACGAGAAGGAAGCGAGGCGCCGGGTACCCCAGACGTGAGCACTGGACGAGGAAGAGGCAGGTGGCATCGAGAGGAGTGTCAACCACAACGGCCTGAGATGCTGGGGTACCAGGTGCGACCTGGCTACAAAAGGCAGAGGCTTCGGGGTTGGGAAGCCACTCAACACAGCGACTCGCACAGGGAAACGTAGTCCAGGCAGCTTCTCGAAGAAGGAAGAGAGTCAGTGCCGCCAGGGACAGCTTTCCCCTTGACCAGCAAGCAGAGGGTCATGGGTAGCTAGGGGACGATCTGCTCTGCGTCTGAGATTTTCCTGGCTGGACAAGACAAGTCCTACCAGAGGCTTCCTGTGGCTTCTGTCCTCACACTCGGAGCAGACCGGGCTCAGTCCATCAGGGAGCAGGGGCGTGTTTGGTCCGGAGGTGATCTGGAAACATACTATTCCCTCAAAAAGGCAGAGGGAATCATTCAAGTTGCCGATGAGACCTGATTGATCTTAATGGAACCTGAAACGTAAATTTTCCCAGC